AAAAAGGGAAGAACCTAGCTATGTAAGAAACTGTAAGATACATGAACTGGATCAGATCCCATCTCATTCAATAGCTGGCTTCCATTCAAATTCATCCATAACCTCTGACTCCCAAACCGTTCTTGTAAACAGAAAAAGAAATTCTCTGTATGCTTTATTTCCTTCAAAACTCTGTATCTTTTTGTTACCAGCAACAATGAATGACAAAAAGCATATCACTAAATGAGTTGGTGACTCTTAATGCAGTAAAGCTTGATTGGAATGAATGAGAGCTTTCTTCCTAATTAAAATGCCAAGCATGGTAACTTTATATAGAATAGACAGGGGCTTAGAGCTACAAGAACATTTATGTTTGTGTCAAAAGGTTAAATTCCCTATTAACCTTCTTATAGGGATCCTCTTAGAAGAATCCATTAATGCAATTGCTAAAAACTTCATGCTGCCTTTTAGTTTTTAACTAACCCTGCTTTGCAGACTCCCTATCCACTGTTTCCCCTGGTGCTCCTGTAGCATGGCCAACTACATTTTGTGGTGATATTCTGAGGGTCCCAGGTTCTACTGCCTGCGTTCTTGTTTGCCATCCATTACTAAACCTAGCATCCGCAGTCACCCACTTTCTGCAAGGCCCATATTTAAATATATTAAGGAATTATTCCTTTAGTAAGAGGGGCATTCCACCTGATCCATTGTGGAAGGAGCACAGAGGTTTGAGCTTCTATGGCTGAAAATGAAGACACATAATGCAATAGTTCCAATACTTTATATTCAAGTTCTGTTTTCCAGTTGATAAACATATAAGTATTCCCAGTTACAGAAGAAAGGAGAAAAAAACAGTAAAAGCAGACGTTAGCAAGGCTAGCAATTAAAAAAAAAGATAATTATGTATCCTTCACAGAAGGTATATTCACAGTGTTGCACAAATACATAAAATTGTTCCAACCCCTCCGAAGATGTAAAAGTACAAGCTTTTTTGCCACCTAGATAACACTCCATTGATGTGACAGCAGCTTGACTGGCCAATTAAAAAGCTAATGTTGTTTTTTCTCCCATTATCTCAGTGTCAAGGATAGAGACAAATAAATTACAATTATTCCCAGCATCTACATCTATTTTAGGAAAATGCAATACTGAGAAAACAAAGGACTCAGTGACAACTGAGAGAGAGAGAAATAACTTTTTCTCTCTCTCCTTAAAAGGTCAAATGGAAAAGGGGAAGAAAAACCCTCCGAATCCCATTAGTTTCTGACTTTCATTCAGACTCTCTCCTGGTTGCAGGATTATTTCAATCAATACTGAATTTTGTCCTTCAGCTTCATGGATTCCTGATTCATCAGGCAATAAAGCCTCAGCAATTACAGCAATGAGGATAATCTTGTTTGAAGGTCCTAGAAGTTGTTACAACAGTAGAAATGGGAACAAAGCATGACTCTGTTTCATCCCAGTATATTCCTTTGTGAATGCCATTACTCCTAGTCCCCGCCTGCGTCTACATGTACGGGTTCCCTAATGCAGCAAGCACTCAGCAATTACAAATAAGAACATTACACTGAATGATGCAGACCAGCATATAAATCAGCATAACATTAGCCAGTTTAAAATATAAAACAGATTAAAAATATTACTCATACCAAAAGCACATGCTTTTCTTCCTCTGGCTGCAGAATATAAAGGTTAGGTAAGTCTCACATGGCAGAATAGTATAAATCTGGTGCCACAGCTGAGAAGGTTTTATGCTGTGACCAAGGTAATACAATCTGACACATCTTGGACAATATTGTGACAAGAGGAAGCTCTTATGACGACTTGAGTGAGCAGGAAGGATCCTATATGAAGATATATTTTAGCTGTGTTGGTTTCATATTCTGTACTGTAAGGATTGTATTGTCATAACTAGACAATATCTATCATGTCAAGGGTTGGAGCCTGCAAGAAAATTGACTTGTCAGAGCCATACTTTCTCTTGTCAATTTAGCATTCCTAAATTATGGAGTTAGGACAGTTCTGATGCTCCCCACAGCAAATAGGAGTAATTTTATTGGAGAAGTAATAGCAAAAAGCACAGCAAAAAGACTACATTATGTTTTATGTAATTTTGGTAAATAGAGTTCCTTGCAGGCTTTATACAAGAGTGAAGACTATGGAGTTCAGTGAAGGAACTACATAATACAATTGGTCTGCTAATTTCCTGGGCCTGATAAGAACATAACCCAGAGATGTTACATTAAAAACCAGAAAATATATCTTAAAAAATATTTCTGTATGTGTGTCAAAGGATACAGTTTTGTACAAAGTATGCATGTGTTAATTTATATGTATAAGTGTATAATTAGAATTATTTTAAAAATATAAGACTTCTCCCCCACTGTAACAAAGTGATAACCACCCTAATTTATGGGTGGTCAATGATATTCTGTTAGTTTTCCAGTAGTCAAATACCATACTACCCATGTTTATATCCAGATCATTTACGCATTTAAGAAACCAGCGTTAGCTCATCCGTATTTCATATGGTGAACCTGTAAGTGTGCACATTTGGTGTTATTCTTCTGACACAACGTTTTGCCAGTTACACTTAATACAAAACAAACAACTCTAACAGAGAACTTGAAAGCATGGCGAAACAAACACAATTTAGACTAGTAGTAATTCATGGGCTGTTTGTAAGATATACCTTGTTTGTAAGTTAAAGACTGGTTCCATTTACACAGCATGCTAAACTCGGGCAGCTTTAATCTTAGTTAGGTATTTCTATGGCTTAACACACAGTGAAAATCCAGCACATCACATCTATGATTTCATGTGCTATGCAACTAAAAAAATAAGTTAAATGAGTTAAGCATGTTGTGTGAATCCAACCATTTCTGGGACAAGCAGACAAAGTCAGAAGTAGAATATCATATGAAGGGCATAAAACAGAATAGTTATTGATCTTTAAATGTGATTTGTTTCTACCCTACTGAGCCAAGAAACCAGGCAAGACTACAAGGTGAGTTCACATGTTATGCCTGCCATTTCTGCAACTTACCCATCACCTAGAAGAGGAGGGATGGGGGACTTGTGGCCAGATGTTGTTAAACAGCTTCTGTTGACCTTATCAATGTTGCATGGGGCTGATGATGGTTGGAACCCAACAACATTTGGAATTGGTTGGTTCCCTATGCCTGATCTACAAAGTGCATTTCATGCAAAAAAGGTGCTAAATTGAAATTCTAACTGAAATGTTGCACATCAGTAACCTTCCGCTTCTTCCAGACTTTCTAATAAGGGAAGAGGATGGGTCATCCTCAATGTTTATTGCAAGTAGCAACAATGGAAAGACTTGAAACCAACTTTTTCTGAGTAATCATATGGCATAGCAATTAAAATAGAGAAGTGCTATGTATACTATCTTGAGGTACTAGAGAAAAGGTGGGATATAAATCTAATGAATAATGTACAATAGATTATAGAGTTACAATCACCCAGACAGGTTTTCCCTCTGTAGTTTTTGCTGCAAGAATTATTGAAACCACAAAATAACCTCTGGATTTAAACAATAATTGTGATTTCCATCCATATTACTAATTAGCAGCATGAAGCACCAAGCAGGCTAACAACTAAGCTGGGCAGTTGGTCTGCCTGTGAGAAATATTGGGTCTTATTTGCTGGGCACTGTTCTATGCCTTATTAAATTGCTTCTGCAATACAAGCAAACAAATGCTTAATTTGAACATGGAAGGCAAGGCCATAAAACCCTTGTCACAGTAGTTTAAAAGCCAAAGAGTACAATGTGAAGGAGGGAGAGCCTCCAGAGGTCGACAAACTACAACTCCCAGCATCTTGGCCATGCTGCTAGCAGCAACATCAGAAATGTCACCCACGCTAGAAGATGAAACATCATAATATTTGAGAGATCCTCAGTCAGAGAGATCAAAATCTGATTAGACTGAGTATTACTGGACAGGGAAATGGCTTTGCCTGGAGAAGGTGGTTAGCCCATAGGTTCCTTTCTTCATGTTAGCTGTTTCTGACCCCAGGTTCCCTGCGCATTCCAGCAGAATAGCCACTGTATCTACTGATAGAACAAGGAGCTTCTGCCAATAGGAGTGTGTTTCAACTGTGTTACGGTGAATGTCAGCAGCCTCCCCCAACCTTGGGCTCTCCATGTGTGGTCAGGCTACAAATGGGTTGGGAATTCCAGGAGTTCCAGTCTGGAGGGCATCAGGTTCAACAAGGTTGAAGTACAGCCACGCAGGTGAGAACGCATGAGGAGTTGCATAGCTAGAGTTTTTAATGACCTACTGTAAAACTCACAATGTTCATATGGATTTATTTCCAACTTGCAGACCTACAGATTCTTCAGATACTATAGCCTGTTCACTTGTTCAGTCCAACACAGCAGTGGTGAATGGCTTTTCCCCTCTTATTGTTGGAGTGGTGATATAAGTGAAGAGATAATCTCCCTGCATCTGTCAGCTGAATTTTAACTGCAGTCGCTTCCACATGAATAGTAATTCAGATTTCTCTTTGCTTATGTCACTTTTGTTCTGCTTAGGAGAGGAAACGGGCTGCCCACTGCTCTTTCTGTGTTAGACTCAGGTAGTCCTCGGTTAACAACAGTAATTGGGACCAGAATTTCCATCGCTAAGCAATGTGGTTGTCAAGCGCAACATTACATGACTGCATCATTTAGAGACAGCAATTCTGGCACTCCCCTTTGCCATCATTAAGCGAGGATTGCAGGACATTAAGCGAGTCCTAGGCGGCTCACAAGCAGGCCAGCAGGCAGGTAAGTGGCTGCTGCTGAGTGGGGGAGAGTACGAGCGACCTACCGCAGTGACTTGCAACCTTTCCTGCCAGCTTCCCCATTGACTTTGCTTATGGGAAGCTGGCAGGGAAGATTGCAAATGGCAATCATGTGACTGTAGGACACTGCAACCATTGTTAAGTGCAAGCTGGTTGCCAAGTGCCCAGATTGCAATCATGTGGCCGCAGGGGTGCTGCAATGGCTGAAACTTCAGGGACCGGTTGTAAGTACCACTTCTTCAGCAACGTCATAACTTCAAACAGTCACTGAATGAGTGGTCGTTAAATGAAGACTATCTGTAAACATAGGAAGATAATGCCAGAAGATAATGTATGGCCCCAAATTAATCAGGATATACAACTGTATGGTCTTGCTATAACTTCACAGTGTGGTAAGGCTTCAGACAACTTTTTACAAGATAGGATCTGGAGAAAGGGGATAAAGCTTTACTATGGTTTTACTGCCTACCTCAAATTCTGATAAATAGGCCTAATTGCTCTTCTTACTTAAAAACTGCTAGCTTTTTATCACAAAGATATGTTTTGATGTACCTTCTAAGACATTTAGAAACAGAAACTTAGAAACACGCAATAGTTTATATCTGATTTGGTCCTCTAGCTCAGCTCTGTTTATTCTGATCAGCCATGCTAGTTGGGGATGAGGGGAATCATAGCCCAACGCAGCAGGACACCAGATTTGAGAAAGCTGCTTTGGGATTTCTGGTAAAGAACTTAATCCCTTTGACCTTGAAATGCCAGAGGTTGAAACTGGAACCTTTTACATGAAGACTAGAATTTAGAATACAGTAGTATGTTTCTTTTCTCTACATCAGTCTATTGCAGGGTGGTGGTGGGGAGAATCTCATAAGCATAGGGCTGAATAACCTGTAATGAAAGGACACGTATGACTCCTACCCCTCTCTTTTTGCAGTTCTCAAAGCCCCTTTCAATCACAACCACCAAATCAGTGGCACGGATTCCTGCTATCTGGGGACAGGGAACACACCTAAATTATAATGTAAGCCCCTTGCATCTGTGAAGGAATAAAAAACCTTGACCTACCTGCTGCAGTGCTCAAAAAATGTTGTGTGGCCCCTAGCCATAGGATTTCATAGATTGTTTGGAAGAAGAAACAGTAGGCATAAAAGAAGAAATTCTCTGGCCATATGTTTCTTAGTAGGGAGGGAAGAACTAATTGGTCCCTCTTGAAGAGAACAGGGAACTTTGCTAAATCATTACATAAATACACTTTTTTTCTGCCATCAAGTACACAAAACAAATCTGGCGACTTACCAGTACTGTTTCAGAAACCTTCAACACATACTGTTCTAACAGGACACATGCAGGAAGAAATATTTCTCAATCTCAATACAGCACTAAAAAACAAACATTCTATGCAAACTTCTATAAATTACTCAAGAAAGAGGGATCACAGTTAGGCCCAAAGTGGCATCGTGCAGTGTTTCTCAGTAGTTGCTATACTATTTGCAGAATTTAAAAAGGAATTATAAAGAAATACTCTATCTAACAAGTCCCAAAGATATAAACAACACTAATAGTCTACAAATCACAGTAAAGGCATTGTCACAATTACATGTGGATTTCTTCTAAAGTAGAAACGTAGATAGAGTTCACTTTGCCTGGAAAGATAATTTCTATAAGCAGTGACCTTAGTTACCCTTGTGGAAAATGGATTACCAATTGTTGTCTGGAATAAAAAATGGATAGTATAAGCAGTTATCACAGTTACTTATAACAAAGAGTTTGTAGGTTCTATTTGAGATAACCATATATGTAGGGTAAGCATGCATGCATGGAATATGTAAAGTGTCTTGGAGTATGACTGTAGACTTTTAGAGAAAGTATCTTCTATTACCCTCCCTCCCGCTTTCCAGGTTGCTTGAAAGTGGCCCTGCTATCACTGAGAACATAACTTATCAATCATCTATTGTTTCCAACACTGTCTCAGCTAGGCTGTTATTTTCTCTAAAACTCTACCATCAAAAGGCACTTTTGGATTGGTGCAGACTTTTCTTCTTATGGAAAGAAGTTGTTGTGAAACCAGAAGCCAAACTAGATCTGTGTATTGTTTACGTTTAAAAAAAAAAAAATCCAAGCTGACTCCTCTTAAGTCCATGTCTCCATGGGCACCATGGATTCTTTTGTTCCAACAGAGGGAAGCAAATTCTCTTCATCCAAGAAACGAAAGGGGAACTGGACTAGAAATCCATGGATTTTCTTCAGTTCTTCAGTTGCTTTAGTGGGATTCTCACAAGTAAGCTTTGGTTTGTTGATGAAATCCCGCAGGTGGGTTAAGTTATTAACTTCATCACTAGGAAGACATCGGAAAACCTAATTGAGAAGATGAAGGGTGTAGAAAAAGGTGTGAAAACAGATGTCTTTCCAAGGACTTATCTATACTAGACACCCAATTGCCTAGTCATATTACCTCTGTTTATGGAATTTTAGAACTTAAACGAAGGATTCTCAGAATCCCCAACAAACTGATTTCCCCCCCCAATATTATTTGGAGAAAAGCCATGTTAATGTTTATATTTACATTCTGATTGACATTAGGACCTTAAAACTCTCCAGCCTTCATCTCTTCCACTGAAGAAGAAAATGTATCACTGGTCTTTCACAAGCAAAGCTACCAATTATAAGGATATATAGGCGAGACAGAATTTCTTTGGGCCTATGGCCTAAGATTGTTATTCTGGTCAAGAACTTTTGGATCGTGCTAGAAATATTAACCCAATTACTTAACCATACACCTAGGATAAAGGTAGGCAAGTTTTCAGGTACTGGGTTGTAAAAAAGTAAACAAGAATATTTTAAAATGGTCAAAATCTTGCAAGATTGCCGAATTTCACAAATTTCAAAGGTTCAATAACTGAGGTATGTCACATGAGAACACCAAAATCACATGCATTCTTGCCTAAAATCTCATGAGAACACAAACATATTGCAACATTGGGCGATCTTGTAAAATTTCAGTTGATTTTTTTTAAAAAAGTTGTATTTAATTCTGAAGTTCTGTGGGGGGATTTGTTAAAGCAAGACTGGGTGACTTCTAAGAATTGGACAACCACATTCACAAATACTCATGCCTTTCAGTAACAATAAGTGGGAAACAGAAGACCATACTTCACCTTCTCAAAAATAGTGGCATTGCGTGCTGCCGTTGCAACCCATACTTCTTTAAAGAATTTGTCAGATATGGGATCCTGGATATCATTCAGATCTATTGAGCTGCCAAGAACAACTCTTAAGAATGGGAGAAGACAAAAGCAAAAACAAAGAAGGAAATTATACACAATCGGAATCCTAGATGATGTTAATAATTCTTGAAATCAGGAAGATGAAATTCAACACCATAGGATACTAAGAAAATGTAAGAACATTGTTCCAACAGAAGCCAAACAGAGAATGGTCGTGATTACCAGCCCAAGGTTTGACTGCTTTGCTTTAAAGCTTCTTCACAAGTGTCACAAGCCTATATCTTGCCAAAGGGACGAGAAGTGCACATGATGTAAGCACCATCTCTTGCTTACTTGTGTGTGGTACTGTGACACAAATACAAAAGGGTGGAGCATTGTTTTGCAATGCACATTTCATAATTTGCTCTCCCCTACCTGCCTTCTGCAGATGCCCATGGCCTTCTTGACTGACATTCAAGGTAGGTGGTGGAAAAGGCCTGGATTTCAGAGTGGCTGCAATGTGCATTCACTTGGAGGCAGCTATTCTGCTGCTTATCTGGCCAGTTAGATAGCAGCTGCAATTTAAGAAGGTCTGCTAATTATATTTCACACTCTGGCAGTGGCAACATTAATTCTGGACAGTTTTTCAAAGGAAGAACTTTGAACAAGCAGGCAGTTATTATAAAGACAATTAAACCCCTCCCCCTCAAAATAGGGGGGAGGCAGGCATATTTACTGAAAAATGGCTTTGAAGCTGAATAAATGATGAGAGGTTGTGAAAATGAAAAGATGGAAGGTTAAGCCATCCATCCAAGTTTATGGATTTGTGTGTAGAAAGCTACCTTTTTTCTACTTTCTTGGGACAGAACACAGTCTATTTTATCCAATATTATAAGTAGCAGCTTTCTAGAATTTGTTTGTTTGTTTCCAGGTTGAATTCAAGGTGCTGGTTTTGATCTTTAAAGCCCTTCATTGCATGGGACCAGGTTATCTGAGGGACCGCCTCTCCCCGATCACATCAGCCCGTCCCATTGGATCCGGCAGAGAGGACATGCTATGGGTTTCATCTGCCAGGGACCTCCATCTGATGGGTCCCAGGGTGCGGCACCCGCCTTACAGAACATTCTTCCCTCCAAAGTCAGGTTAGCTACATCCCTGTTAATGTTCAGGGTGTCCCTCAAGACCTGGTTATGTCTCCAGGCTTGGGGGTCCCAGGGAACCCGCGACATTTTAAGGTGGCTCCCCTATTGTGGGTTATATGTGGTTGCTATACTTCTCTCTCCACTTATGGTTTGTATATTCTAATTTTCTAATGATTTTTAATTTTTAATAATGACTGTCTATATTTTTATATAATTGTTTTTATACTGATTGTTTTTATATTGTGGTTTTATATTTGATTGTTGTATGCCACCCAGAGTCACTTTGGATAAGATGGGCAGCTATCTACTTATTTGTTAAATGAATGAATGAAAGAAAGAAAGAAAGAAAGAAAGAAAGAAAGAAAGAAAGAAAGAAAGAAAGAAAGAAAGAGGGAGGGCCTCTACCACCATACTTACTGTAGTAAATAGCTTACTATTATATCTATTTACTGGAAATGGTGTGGATTGAAATCTGAGCCTTACTGTATGAGAAATCAACATCCTATCACTGATCTTCCCAACCATTTACTGCAACCTTCTCCAACATGGAGCCCTTTTGATGTATGAATCTTTATGCCACCCATTCCCAAAGATGCTGGGCAGCTAGCAATCAAAATCATCATAGAATAGGAAAGAATCCCTTAAAAAACAATATACCAACCCATAATAAACAACACAATATCAAAATACACAGAAATGTTCTAGAATTCTCAGCAGTGGGCATACTGGCAGGGAATAAGGGAAGTTGAAGTTCACATGTGTGGGAGAGTGACCCAAAGGTTGAACACCTGCACTGCAACACCCAATAATTCTGTTGTAATTTAAGTCTGACCCTACAACTGGGAAGGTCACTTGGCCACTCTGGGGAGTGCCCTGTTGCTTCCAGGAGGCAGAAATGCATCCTGTATAGATGGAGGCAGTGATTCAGTAAATGGGACGATACTGAGGAGATGGCATGCTTCCATGTCATATTTAGATGACATGTAATAAGAATACATATACATAGGCCTTAGACCAACCTTCTGGAGTTTGATGTCCTCCAAAATTGTTGAACTACCACCTACATTACTCCCGCCCAGCATGGGGTTGGGGAATTGCATTACAGGGCATCACCAATCTTGGTACTTGCTTCCTCCCAGGTGATCCCCTCTACCAATTGAGACCAAGAAGGCATGCTTTGCTCACCTCCATCCGAGGCTATATTGTGAGGATTTTTTTTAATTAACTAGAAATGAGAAACAGTAATGGGATTTTTTTTAAAAAAATCAAATAATAATGTTTCTATTGAGTGACTGAGCAGTAGCTCTCTGCTACGTATGGAGTGATGCTGTTCTTTGACGAAAAGTGGGATACAAATTGGACAGATAAATAGAAACATAGCTGGATCACAGAATACTAAGACGTGATGAGTACAACCCCTTGTTCAGTGTACAAATCTAAACTAAAGCGTCTGTCAAAAATAGCTTTCCAGCCTCTGCTTGTACATGCTGAGCAAAGGAGAACTTTCCACCTCCCTAGATAACTGGCTACCCTATTAAATTGCTCTTATTGCTAGGAAGTTAATTGGTAACTATAACAGTCCAAAACCTTGATGTCTCACTCCTGGATGATTATGCCTTTTTTGACACAAAAGGCTGACCAACAGATATTTCTGCTTTTAAACTCACACTGATATCTTTAATCTATGGGTCAATTCGATTAACAGATTAAAAGAATACAGTAATCAACTCCAAAGAAGTCCACAGTTAACTAAGTAATAGATAAAAATGATCAGAAATACAGGTAGCAAATTCTTCATAAAAGAGATGTTCCCTCTTTTTTTCTCATGTAAAACGGAATCCCCCTTCTAAGATGCTAATATGAAATAATCAATCTGTCAATCAATCAATCAATCAAAAACTGGAAGAATAGGCTCCATGCTCCAGAAATATTATTATTCATATATAAATGATACATTAATCAACTAATAACATATACCTACAGCTGCAATCATTTACCACTCACTTGAGAGTAAGCCCTGTTGAACTAAATAGAAGGCTTGGCTGAATAGACAAGCACAGGATTGTACTCTAAGGTAATCAATCAACTGCAAATACTTTTTAGATTGGTTTTACTCCTACATTTCATGAAGCGGTTTTGTCAGCTGTGGTACCTAAAGCACTGAAGGCGAAGAGACTGAGCAAATCTTCCTGCTCTGTAGTCTTCTCCATCCATCACTGAAGCAACGGTGTCAGTATCTTCCACAATGACAGCCATTTCACTGTCTCTTTTCCCCAACATGCTTCTGTCATTGATGTTTGCAGAGCCTATTAAAGACATAGCATCGGGAGAGTCACAAATGCAAGGGATTAATAAATAACTATTTTAAACTGGCTCAGAGGACCACAAGAATATGCAAACGTTCCACGTTTCAAACTCTACCATAATATATTCCGTCATTGATTATGATGCACAGTAATAAAAAAGCTCTGAAATAAATAAAGATAAGAAAATATTAGATCTTACTACCTTAGATAACTAATCGTTGGTCTGCAATATTCTTTTTAGAGCAGTTTTCTAGAACAAGTGATGGCTTTCAACTTCAGGATTTGATGAACCAATTATGTGGGTTTTGTATCAATTTTGGTTCAGTATGGAGTCTGGGGCAGAAATGGCCATGATAGAATTATGATTAAAATTGAATGGGGAATATGTTATGGTGGGTGTTGCTGAATCTCTGAGCGGTTAGATGCCATAGGCCAGGGATTAGCAATTTGTAGTCTTCAGTTGTTGCTGAACTTCAGTTCCTTTTGCTCCTAACCAACATTTTCAGTTAATGGGAGTTGCAGTCCAACATCTGTATGTCACACAAGTTGTCCTAGGTCATAGAATCCTTCTGGGCACCTTGGAGCATGAAAGCTTAGACCTAAGACTGCCCTATAATCAGATGAACCAATTTTGAGTAAACAACTGTATTAAGTCTCCAAGAAAATTTATTGCTCCATTGCTCAACAGGATCTCAACTCAGGTTGCTTAAGGGGGGAGCCAAACCCCAAATAATCACTTTTTTCTTTGTTGAGAAAAACCAGTATACTGGATTCTTGCAGTTCAAAATGTATGCAAATCCCAATGATAACACTTTTCTTTCCTTTACAGGAATTTTCTAGTCCTTGTATACCGAAAAAGACAAGGAGTGTCTGCAAAGGGATCTTTATCATGGAAAGGCAGCAAATTAACTGCAATGAATCAGGGCAGGAGAGGTGAACAGCTTCTGGCATTTTCTGCTTCAAATGCCAAAATAATCTGACTGGGCTTGCTTATTATGCATTAGGGAAGACCTGCTCTATGCTATTCTGTCTTTTACTGGCCTTAGATGCATCTCTTATGTCTTATGGGCCACATTTCCTTAATTCAGAGTACTACAAATACTGGCAATATCTTTTACATCTTTTTTGCTTAGTTAGCTTTCATCCCAGCTATCCATTACGGCCTGTTTAAAGTCTTCCTTTACTAGCAGATGGGAAAGAGAAAACTGGAACATCTTGCCTGTCTGTGCATACTTGGCATATCAATCAAGAGAAATGTCTTGTGAACATTATCCATTGCTCTTTCATGAATGAAAAAAGGACTGGTAGTAGTTAACAGGTTGAGACGGGTTAAGAGAGCCTTTATGTCAAAGGTACTGCTTAGTATAAACAATCAAAGCCACATAAAATAGTCAGCATTCAAGTCAATTTGTTTATTGATTAGTCATTTGACCATACCAAAAAGCTATAAAAACCAATACAAAGAAAAGCAAGACATATTCATAATATATTGTTCCCCTGCTTAGGTCCTTTCTTAAAATCCAAGAAATACGGGGACACCAAGAATAAATTGTTATATGTTTTGCAGGGAACACACTTGTACACAGCTAGGGGGACTGTGTCTTTTATATCAAAGGTCAAGGGGATGGACCACACAGAACAGATTGAGGTTAACTGTAGGGGCAATGATATATTATGAATATGTCCTACTTTGTTTTCTATTGCTTTTATAATTTCTTGATATGGACAAACGACAAATCAATAAACTAATTGAACTGAATTGAACGGTCAATAATATCATGGAGAGAAGTGTATGTGTGTGTGTATAGAAACACCAAGAGCTTTATACATGCCAGCCTACAAGAGAAGGCTAAATAATTCTCAGTTCAGATCAGAAAAAAATAGATTTACAGTATGTCGCCAGTAATTCCATGCATCACAGTATCAACAACTCTGCCTTGAAGATTATCTCAGTTGAAAACTGTTGAAACACATGAAGTGCAGGGCCAGCTGTACGTCTGCAGGAGTTGGCTCTATGCTGGAGGCATTTATCCTACTCCAGAGATATAGTAAAATAAAAACATATTTCACCTGTTAGGTATGTAAGCAAGTTGGCATTTTATGTTAAACGGTAGGCTTTCTTTTTGTTTTTACATGCCATCCTCTGCTTTTAAGTCAGAAGAACTTCTTTTGGGAATACTGGTTGCTCGGGATTAATGTATTGTATAACTGTGGCTATTGGATTTTTCTCTTCGCAGAGCGCCACGACCATTGTTGCTTGGTATTAATTTGTTTTTGTTTCTTCATGTCTCTCTGATGATCTAATGTGCTTCTAATGTACCTACCTTAGGCTGGCTGCTTCCTAAATTTAGTTATGTAAGCAATTGCTTACTGTAGAAAAACTCAAGGTGGTTTACAATTAAAAAAAAATCCCAGTAAAGGAATAATTCAACTAGCCCAGTGTTGTCCAAACTTGGCCACTTTAAGATGAGTGGACTTCAACTCCCAGAATTCCCC